TGCGTAATCCAGTCTTGGCAAACTCATTTTCTTACAGCTTGTTGTTGATGAGCCGACATCGGTGCGTTGCTGTACCCTGTTTGTATTGTGGACATCCGCCGTTGCAGGGATTGGACTCATTCATAGCCAATGTACGCCGGTGTGCTTGGAATAGCTTTCCCTTATCATAAAACAGAACGTGATGCAATGCCTCAAGTCCATCGCACTTAGCGGCCGAACGGTCATCGTCTCGATCCACCAGCCCGATCGGACATATTCCATGCGCTCGACAATCTGCTGATCCTCGCCAAAGGCGGACACGCTGTCTTCAGTGGGAAACGCAAAGACGCGGTCGCTGTGATGCAGAGCCAGGGCTACCGCTACCTTCGGTGTGGTTCAACCCGGTGACCATCTGCTGGATCTGTCACTGTCGACCAGCGGCCTGGCAAGGCGACGGAGTCGAAAGCACGGGTCGCGGCGTTGATCGAGTGGTGGGATCAGACCGCACAACAGGAGAAGGGCCAGAATGAGAAGCAGGTGACGGCCGAGTCCGAGGAAGGGGTAGTCCCAGCTGCATCTGAAAGCCGGTTCACGCCTGTTTACATCGCATTCCCGGTTGTTGCTGAGCGCATGTTCAAGAATCTGTGGCGGCAGAAGGAGGCGTTTGGGGCCGGATCACACAGACGCCGTTGGCTGGTTTGTTACTTTTGATGTTCTATGAACGGGTAAGACGAGGATTGGCACCAAGAATACTGCCCTGACGCTTTGCTATAATAGCTGTCGTTTGGCCCCACCGGTGGTCAGGATCGGATTGGGTCAGTCCGGATTATTACGGATTATTTTCTATTGACATTCTCCAGTGTCAACTTGCAGTCGACCTCGGGTTCGTTGTCTCATTCTATTTGTGTTATGTGACAGTACCAATTACCGGATCAGCTCTTCCTTTCATTGGCCTGATCAACGGAATTGCCATCTTTCCGCAAGACCGACAGCTGTTTATGCACGAATACCGCAGCCCAGCAGCATACTCTGTGACGACCCTGATCTTGTCGTACTCGCTTATTGAGATACCCGCTCAAATCATCGCTTCGTTGGTATGTGCTCAGGTGCCCTGAATGACCCAAACGATTGTACTGATAGCGCATTTTCAGTTTTATGCTATCTTTGTAGGTACTGAGTACTAGAGATCCGAGCTTGTGCTGACCAGCGTAGATGAATGTTGCGGTGGGGATGCAAACAAGCGCGCGGATCTACTTTGAGTACGCGTTGACGATCTGGACTCTGCAGAGTCTCGGGGAGAGCATCGCCCTCATCTTCGCGTCGTTCTTCGATGCGATGGGAATCGCCGTCTCGCTGGTGTCGACTACGCTGAGTATGGTCACTCAGTTTAGCGGGATCTGTGAGTGTTCTCGAAGGAGTGAGGAATGATTGAGGATCTGACCTTGTGGACAGTGTCGCTGGCAGTGACTGCCAGCGACACTGTCCACAAGGTCAGATCCTCAATCATTCCTCACTCCTTCCGAGAACACTCACAGATCCCGCTAAATGAGTGACCATACTCAGCGTAGTCGACACCAGCGAGACGGCGATTCCATCGCATCGAAGAACGACGCGAAGATGAGGGCGATGCTCTCCCGAGACTCTGCAGAGTCCAGATCGTCAACGCGTACTCAAAGTAGATCCGCGCGCTTGTTTGCATCCCCACCGCAACATTCATCTACGCTGGTCAGCACAAGCTCGGATCTCTAGTACTCAGTACCTACAAAGATAGCATAAAACTGAAAATGCGCTATCAGTACAATCGTTTGGGTCATTCAGGGCACCTGAGCACATACCAACGAAGCGATGATTTGAGCGGGTATCTCAATAAGCGAGTACGACAAGATCAGGGTCGTCACAGAGTATGCTGCTGGGCTGCGGTATTCGTGCATAAACAGCTGTCGGTCTTGCGGAAAGATGGCAATTCCGTTGATCAGGCCAATGAAAGGAAGAGCTGATCCGGTAATTGGTACTGTCACATAACACAAATAGAATGAGACAACGAACCCGAGGTCGACTGCAAGTTGACACTGGAGAATGTCAATAGAAAATAATCCGTAATAATCCGGACTGACCCAATCCGATCCTGACCACCGGTGGGGCCAAACGACAGCTATTATAGCAAAGCGTCAGGGCAGTATTCTTGGTGCCAATCCTCGTCTTACCCGTTCATAGAACATCAAAAGTAACAACCAGCCAACGGCGTCTGTGTGATCCGGCCCCAAAACGCCTCCTTCTGCCGCCACAGATTCTTGAACATGCGCTCAGCAACAACCGGGAATGCGATGTAAACAGGCGTGAACCGGCTTTCAGATGCAGCTGGGACTACCCCTTCCTCGGACTCGGCCGTCACCTGCTTCTCATTCTGGCCCTTCTCCTGTTGTGCGGTCTGATCCCACCACTCGATCAACGCCGCGACCCGTGCTTTCGACTCCGTCGCCTTGCCAGGCCGCTGGTCGACAGTGACCAGATCCAGCAGATGGTCAGCCGGGTTGAACCACACCGAAGGTAGCGGGTAGCCCTGGCTCTGCATCACAGCGACCGCGTCTTTGCGTTTCCCACTGAAGACAGCGTGTCCGCCTTTGGCGAGGATCAGCAGATTGTCGAGCGCATGGAATATGTCCGATCGGGCTGGTGGATCGAGACGATGACCGTTCGGCCGCTAAGTGCGATGGACTTGAGGCATTGCATCACGTTCTGTTAATATGATAAGGGAAAGCTATTCCAAGCACACCCGGCGTACATTGGCTATGAATGAGTCCAAGCCCTGCAACGGCGGATGTCAGCACAATACAAACAGGGTAACAGCAACGCACCGATGTCGGCTCATCAACAACAAGCTGTAAGAAAATGAGTTTGCCAAGACTGGATTACGCAGAGGAAGCGACGGACGAT